TAGGCATTGTCACTTCCTTTTACCCATACACTATGATGAAATAGTATTTATTCATGAGAATCACACCAAATTGTATGCAACGTGCAATAATATTTCACAATTATTCACCCATGAGTGAGGATGCCTGCGAGGGTTAGCCACAAGGGAACAGCCTGGTAGAGGTAAAATAAGATCAGGCAGTAGCACCCTGTGGTAGCCCCCAAACCATCCCTGGAAGTCAATATCTGTATTTGTGGAAGAAAAATAAGGGTTTGCTTTCTCACAGCCATATCTAGTCCTAAATAATACAATATACTACCTGAGAAATTGGCTTAAAAAAACTTTAAAAATTCTAAAGGTCAACAAACCAAGAAGTGACATCTTAAAGGATTCACAGAATTTTCGTATACATAAACAAAAAAGTTACTCTATGATCAAGAATAAACATATCTGACAAAGCTCTTCAACATCCATTTTCCTTTGGGTTTTTTTGTTTGTTTGTTTGTTTAAGTATATTGTCATGCCCTGGCTGGTGTGGCACAGTAGATTGAGCACCACCCTGCGAACCAAAGGATTGTGGGTTCTATTCCCAGTCAGGGAACCTGCTTGGGTTGGGGGGCCAAGTCCCAGTAGGGGACGCTCAAGAGGCAACCACACATTGATGTTTCTCTCCTTCTCTTTATCTTTCCCTTCCCCTCTATAAAAATAAATTTTTAAAAATAAATTTTGATTATGCTATTACAGTTGTCATATTTTTTTCTCCCCTTTATTCTCCTCCACTCTCCCTCCCACTAGCATTCCCCTCTTTTAGTTCATGTCCATGCATCATACATTTAAGTCCATTGGTTTCTCCATTTCCTATACCATTCTTAACCTCTCCCTATTTTGTACCTACCAGTTATGCTTCTTAATCCCCTCACCTTTTCACCCATTCTTCCCCTTCCCCCTAACCACTGATAATCCTCCATGTGATCTCCATTTCTGTGATTCTGTTCTGTTCTAGTTGTTTGCTTAGTTTGTTCTTGCTTGTTTTGGGGGTTCTGTTGTTGTTAGTTGTGAATTTGTTGCCATTTTAGTGCTCCTACTTTTGACCTTCTTTTTCTTAGGTAAGTCCCTTTAACATTCCATATAATAAGGGCTGGGTGATGACAATCTCATTTAACTTGACCTTATCTGGGAAGCACTTTATCTGCCCTTCCATTCTAAATGATAGCTTTGTTGGATAGAGCAATCTTGGATGTATAGGTCCTTCCTTTTCATGACTGAATACTTCTTGCCAGCCCCTTCTTGCCTGTAAGATTTCTTTTGAGAAATCAGCTGATAGTCTTATGGGTACACCTTTGTAGGTAACTGTCTCCTTTTCTCTTGCTGCTTTTACGATTCTCTCCTTATCTTTAATCTTGGGGAACTTAATTATGATGTGTCTTCGTGTGTGCTTCCTTGGATCCAACTTCTTTGGGACTCTCTGAGCTTCCTAAACTTCCTGGATGTCTATTTCCTTCACCAGATTGGGGAAGTTCTCCATTATTTTTTTCAAATAAGCTTTCAATTTCTTTCTCTTCCTCTTCTCCTTCTGGCACCCCTATGACTTGGATGTTGGAACATTTAAAGTTGTCCCAGAGGTTCCTAAGCCTCTCCTCATTTTTTTGAATTCTTGTTTCTTCATTCTGTTCTGGTTGAATGTTTATTTCTTTTTTCTGCTCCAAATTGTTGATTTGAGGTCTAGTTTCCTTTCCTTCACTGTTGGCTCCTGTATATTTTTCTTTATTTCACTTTGCATAGCCTTCACCTTTTCCTCTATTTTGCGACCATACTCAACCATTTCTGTGAGCACCTGATTACCAGTGTTTTGAACTCTGCATCTAATATGTTGGCTATCTCCTCATTGCTTAGTTGTATTTTTTCTGGGGTTTTGATCTGTTCTTTCATTTGGGCCATATTTCTTTGTCTCAGTGCTCCTGTTTCATTGTAAGGGTCAGAGCCTTGGTATTCACCAGGGCGGGCAACCCGTGTCCTTGCGTTGTGGTGCTGTATGTGCAGAAGGGAGTCAAAGAAGGAACTGCCACTTGCTCAGCTCTCGGCTGGCTTTCAGTCATTTCTCCCTCTACCCACAAGCAAATTGGGCCCTTCTGGTGCTGACTCCCAGGTGGGTAGGTCCGTGCGTGTTCTAGGACCCTGTGGGTCTCTCCAACAAACTCTCCTGTGAGGCTGGGAGTTTCTCCCGCCACTGCAACCCACACAGGTTTTTACAGCCAGGAGTTTTGAGGCTTTCTTTTCCCGCCCTGGAATCCTGAGTTGTGCAGTCTGTCTTGCTCCCCAACTGTTCCTCCTGGTTTATTCGCATGCAAATATGGGACCACCGGACAGCCAGACACCATCTCCCTGGCCTTTCCTCCAGCTGCCACCCTGCTCACATCCTCTCCACCTCAACTGCCCATCTCCGCCCCTCCCACCAGTCTGGATGAATGTTTCTCCTTTAACTCCTTGGTTGTTGCACTTCCACACAGTTCAATTTTCTGGCAATTCTGGTTGTTTTCTGTCTTTAAACATGCTGTTGTCCCTCCTTTGGTTGTGCGAGGAGAAAAAGTATATCCACCTATGCCTCCATATTGGCTGGAAGTCTTTAACATCCCTGTTAAAGTATTACAGCCACACTCCACAAATATGATGAATTTGGCAAACCGATGATCCAGCAAATTGGCTTAGAGCTCACTGGGCCTTGTTGAGATGATTTTATATAAATTTTAGCCATTTGCTTGCCTCATCCTCTATATTACAGCACTCAGTTCTCCAAAATGTAACAGTAGTAAAAAGAATAGATAACATTTATTAAAATTTTTTATCATGTCACTTATAAACTAACTACTTCCCAAGCATATATTTAAAAAATCAGTGTTCAATAGGCCAAAATCCTGCATAAAACCTAATCATCATCATCATCAACCATCATTATTTGAATATGAAGGTTTTTAGGCAGGACAAGCACACACTGGTTTCATCTCACACTACCAAATTAATCTGTCCCACTTCCTTCATTTGTTCATTTAATTGCCTGAGGACATTTCTTCTGTAACCTCTGAATGCAGATCTCATATTTTGAAGTTTAAGTGGTCAGTGTATTAAAACACTAAGTATTGGCCCGGGCAGGCAGCTCAGTTGGTTGGTGTGTCATGGCCATATGCCAGGGTTGCAGGTTCAATCCTCCCTCAGGGCACATACAGGAATCAACCAATGATTGCATGAGTAAGTGGAAAAACAAATTGATCTCTCTCTCTCCCACCCACCCCCTGCCTTCCTGTCTCTCAATCCAAAAAAAAGAAGAAGAAGAAGAAGAAGAAAAAATTGTTATGCTGCCTCTAGTAAATCTGTATTGATTTGCTTGTTATCAGGACTACACTGTGCCCAACATGAAGCCTGCACTGCATTTCTGTTGTTCACTGTTTTATCTCCAGATCTAGCAAGGCACCTGACACTAAAGGGTCCTCAGAAATACTTTTTGAATATTTGAGTGAATGACATACCTTTTTTCCATTTCCATTATTTTACTTTATCAACCTTTCATCTTTCCTGCTTTCAGTTTTACCTCCATCCAATGTATACCATATATTTTTACTCCGCTGATAAAAAAAAAAAAAAAAAAAAACAACCACCAAAAACCGCAAATCTCTTCACTGATTCATGTTGGCTAAGAGTCAAATCAAAACTGTTTGAATCAAAACCAAATGAGATTAGTGACCGGAACTCCAGTCTTTTGACCCTCACCTCCCTTCACTTAATTTCACATTGTTCCTTCTTACAACAATAAATTGCTCCTAATTCTCTAGACATACAATGCTATCCATATTTCCATAAAGTTGTTTGCATTGCTCCCTCCTTCCATGTTCCTGAGAAAGTGTGGGCTTTGTGTGTTTTTTGTGTTTTGGCTGTATCATCATATGCCCATCCCACTTTACATCATCAGCACTCCCTTAGGGGGATTAGGACTATGATCTCTGTACCTCATGATACCCCATTGTGTTTGTGTTAGGTTGATGGAAGAGTTTAAAATATTTTTCCCATATAGACAACAAATCACCTGGAAAAAATTTATTGAATAATTCATTCTTTCCCTCTTAAATTTGAAATGTTTACTTTTATCATAAAATAAATGTTTGGGTATCTGTGTCAGATCTGTCTTTGGAATATCATTTTTCATTGACATTTGGTTTGTGTGACAAACACCTAAATGCTTTTAATATAGTTCTTTATAGTGTGCCATAAAATCCCTAGACCAACCTTATATGGAAAAAACAGCATCTAATTTTGGCTATATTTTGCACATTCCAAACTGCCTAAGGCTGAACATCCTTTCATGTTTCTCAGCCATTCATGTTTTCTCTTTAAAGGATGTCCAATTCATACCCTTACTCATCTATTATACATGTTAAAGAATTCATTCTTCCAGGTCTTTCAGTTTTATGGTGACTCTCATAAGAATGAAGTTTAAATTTAGATGTAGTGAAATGTTTAATCTTTCCTTCTATGGCTTTTAATTTTAATAGCTTGCTAACAAGTTTCTTTCCCCTCTCTCAAAAGTTGGAAAACTCTTCTCGATATTTTCTTCACTATTTTCAATGTTTAGGTCACTAATCCACCTAGAAGAGAGGGAGATAAAGTATATAATGGGGTAAGAAATTTCTCTGCCAACCCGGAGGTGATGGGAATACAGCATACCTGGAGGATAAAGACCTAGCCGCCCCTGTCTCATGTGGAGAGGACGAGTTAAGAGGTAAATTAAGGCATAGACGGTTTATGTAACTAATCTACGCCAAAAAAATTAGTAGCAGAGCCACTTCCTGGGCTTAAGCCCAGGAAATTTACGCCACAGTCCCTGTTCCTAACTGCAGTGCCCTGTGGTTCCACACATCTGATGAAAAGGAAGAGCACTGTTTCTCACAGAGCCAGCCGAGCTGAAGTTCAAAAATTGAGACTCGTGGTTATTAGACTTGTACATAAAGCAGCACCTATTTCCACACCTTTACCTTTAAGGCGGCAAAGTGACATTGAGGGAGAGGAGGGTCTACCCTGCAGATGATGTCCAGCCCAGAATCCAGCGAGAATCGCTCTCTCAGGTGGCCGAACTCACAGAGCCTTCTCCCGCCCGGGAGAGACGAAGGACAACAGAGGACAGAGTGGGGAGTGGGGCAGCCCGCGCCGAGGCCCCGCCCAGGAGCGGCTCTACCTCTATCGGACCGGGGCCCTGCGGCGCATTTCACGAAGTGCTGCAGCGATGGGGACAGCAGCGGACAATGAGGCTTACTTCCAGAGGGGCAGTCTGTTCTGGTTCACCATCATCACCCTCTCCTTTGGCTATTATACGGTAAGGGCAGCGAAGGGAGCGAGCGCCCCATTCAACGCAGGTTCGGGGCCGGCCGGGAGGACAGGTCGCGCAGGCGCAATCCTGCACCCGCGCTCAAAACTCGGGAGACTAGAGCCCAGAGCCCAGAAAAAGACGCAGGCTCACTGGTCTGGCCGCGCCTTTACCCGTCACCGAAGGCCCTGAGAAACCAACTACTCAGGCTTTCACTGTGTGGGGGCGGGAGTAGGTACGACTCTCCGCCCCACGGCTCAGTCTACATCTTTCAAAATGGTGGTAGCTAAGGCAGAGGCCGGCAAAACTGCCACCAACTACTTCCGGACAGCCAGACCCTTGCCCTCACTGGTCACCGTCCTCGGGCTAGGATATTTCGCGGTGAGGCGTCGGACGGGGCGGGGCATCTGTTTTGGGCCCGCCAGGCCCTCGTAGAGCCATGGGTTCCTTGAGAGCACTTTGTTGCCCTGTGCCGGTCACGGTTGCCAAGGTTACTGCAGTAAGCGGAAGTTCTATAGCCTTATATCCCACTTTCTACTTTAGACTGTACCCTACCTTTGTGTTCGCTCCATGGTTACTGCGTTTTACTCCAGTCTCAGAACTCGCGAAGAAGCCAGGTTTACAGACTGCCGTAGGCCTGCCGAGTCAGGATAGGGCTTCCGAAGCAGAATGTATGAGGCAGTTGGAAGTCCTTAGAAAACGGAGTTAAATTTGAAGGATGAGAAGGATTTAATTGGTAAAAAAGGACAGAGAGGATATAAGTGTTATGGCATGGATGTGGAACCAAGAAGGCAGAGGATCTTTACTGAAGAGGAGCGACTTTTGTCTGGCTGACAGTTCATTTAAAAGGGAAAGAGGAAAACTGGAGAAGTCAGTTGGGGACTGAGTTAGTATAATTTTGAATGAAAGCAAAGCTATTTGGATATTTCCGGGTAGATCCTGGAAACTGGGGATTAGAAGCCTGTTTGTTCACGATGTTCTTTATTGTTATGAAATCTGAACACCTTTGTCCTGATTTCCCCGTACGTAAAACGGAGGTGCTGAACTGAAAAATTTCGAAGGTGCATCTCTGTTCTGTGATTCTGCGTCTCCGATTAGTTAGAATATAAATAGAAGAAAGCTTTGGTGACTTCAAACTGTGATATTGTGGAGCTGGTAGATGCTGCCCATTCCATTCCCCTTGGTTTGGAAGGATGGAGTGATGTTTTATGCTTTATTTAAATTTCAGGCGTGTTACATCATAGTGAGAGGTAGTACTGCTCTTGGCTAAAATCTGAGTGGGACCATAAATTTTCGTCCTGTTGGGACTTAATTATTCTAAAAAGCCTAACTGACAAAGGGAAAGTTGATAAGGTTACAAAAACCTTATATGACTAAGTAGTTGCTATTAGCACTTCACAAACCTGATCTTACTTATTTTCCAATTCTGTGCAGTGAATCAGTCACAGTTTTAGAGGTAGAAAAGGTGAAAGAAGAGAAAGGGATTGTAAATTAAATAGGCGTTCAGCTCAAGCCATAGTTTGTGCTGTAAATAAGCTAGCCAGGACACGTAAGCTGTTAAAATTTGTTAATAACCTGTATAAAATAATGTTTTGGTGGAATTAATTAAGAATAGAAGTCATCCAACCTGGGCAATGAGTCTGATAACCACATAGTTTCCTCAGCATAAATCTACACTAGAATAGTTCTTAGAAAATAGAAGTCAAGAGTGGAGCCCCAGATGACTTAGTTCAGAAGGTTTTTTGTTCAGTCCTTGCTCTTGTAGAATCAGGATCATTTCATAGCCTCTCTCAAATGCAATGATTTGCATGACCTAATAGGTGTTCTTTGCCTTTGCTTCTCTTTCAGTGGGTTATCTTCGGGCCTCAAAGTATTCCTTATCAGAGCCTAGGGCCCCTGGGCCTCTTCACTCAGTACTTGGTGGACCACCATCACACCCTCCTACACAATTGGTAAGGAAAGCTGCAGAAATGGGATCGGGACACTGCCGTTCCAGTCTCCCTGTAGACTTGGGAGGCCTGAAGTTGCCTTTAAATATCCAAGAGTGGTACCAGTTCACATTAAAGCACCTTTCTTTTTGAGGTTTCTGTGTTAGATTTCATCAGCAGATAACCATCACCTTAAACTAGGCTGTCTTTGTTTCAGTTATTGGCTTGCCTGGCTGATTCACGTGGGAGAGTCTTTATATGCTATCGTATTGTGCAAGTAAGTGTTTTTAGTAGGTATTTGTCACTTTTCTCTTAGTATCTAATATAATTTGAGAGTGGCTATATTTAAATAATTCATGTACTTGTAGGCTTAGAGCATTCTCAGGGTAGAGTTGAATCCCCACACCTAGTACTGACCCTAACTCAGAGGGAGTACTCAATAAATATTTAAAGAATGAATTAATTTCATTTGTGTTAGCTAATCAGTTATTTAGTTACTTAATTTAGATGACTTTTCTTTCTTTTTTTAAGTTCTCTGTATTAACCCCAACAAGAACAAAAGATTAAGATGCCTCCTAGTTTGAAAAGGCTAAGTTACTGACTGGGGCTGATGATTCTCAATCCTAGTTTCACAACTGAATCACTTGAGGAGCTTTTTCAAAATACACAAACCTGGTTTCCAGACCTGCAAGATTCTGATCTCATCAACCTTGTTTCAGACATGGGACTATGTTATTTTTACAACATCCACAGATAATTCTGGGGTGCAGTGCAAGTTAAAAGCTGCGTGACTAAATGCCTCTCAGCAGAAGACAGTGTAGGTTAATACTATGAGAGTACTAGGAAAGATTCTCTTTACATGTGTATTTTATATAGCATATACAGAAAGTATGATGTAATGAAAGAGATGGTTACAGTGATGCCAAACTGCTTGGCAGTTGATATTTTTCTAGTCAAGGCTATCACTTCTATTATTGTATTACTTTGAAAAGTGGAAAATATGGTGTTTGATTACTACTGTGTTCTATTAATAAAAATAATTAATATTTATTGGGTACACAGTCTTCCAAATACTGCCAAGTGCTTTAAATAGATGGTACTCTCTCTTCCAGTTGATAAAACAAGCTAGAGTTTCCAGGAGAGGAACAGAAACCAGCTTTATTCTTTCTCACCCCTCTTCAGATACTCTCACCCTGTAGGTTTTTGTCTTTCTTCCACCCTAGCCCTAGACGAAATCTGAAGCAGTTCTGTAGGTTTTCCTTGTGATATTTGCCAGTCTTGTCCAATCAGTTTATTAGAATTGGAAACTTATCTATTTAGAATGTCTGCTCTCATGAAGCTGGCGCTCAGGAGCCTGCTGTGGAGGCAAGAGCAGATTTGATGTCTCCTCTTCCACCTTTTTTTCTCTCCTCTTCCACCTTTTTTCTACTCACTATCAGCTGTTTGTGGCCTTGGATGGAGTGTGAGCAGTTAGAGGCAACGAGGCACAGTCTGCCTTGTGATAGGCAGCTGGGTGCTGTGGATGTTGTATACCCAGGGTTGGCTCTTCCCTCCAGAGGGGCCCTGGTAGGTTTTTGTGAAACCTCCCATCACTTGGGATCTCCCTTCTGCAGTTCCCCTGATGGTTTGAATCAGACTCAGCCTCTGGCATGCCACTTGCAGTTTCCCCTCAGGATCCATTATTGGGGGAAAATCCCCTTTATTGAGTTGTCTTCTTCCATTCAGTTAGGCCTCAGGCCTGGGTCCCTTCTAAGGCCGCCCACATCCAATGCCCTTCCACAGGTCTGTATGGCTCACAGTAACAGTTTCTCTGACCTGCCAGTGGGGTAAATCTGCAAGTGGGTGCCGTTCTCAGCACAGCCTTGTACCCAGGAGGCAAGCCAACCAGTCTTTCAACTTTGAATCAGATACTAAGCCCTACCCCCAAATTCCAGGGGACTCCTGTCATGCTCTCCAAGTGGCTCTGTGGAAGCTGTTCTTTGGGCTTCACTTGTGATAGGAAATGCCACAGCACTAGTGCCTCTTTCCAATGGCTTCTTCAGCCTCTCAGTGAAATCTTACCTTGGAGGTAGGTAGTTCAGCACCTCAGCTTACATTGTTGGCATACTTGACACCTATTTTATTCTTGGTTTAGAACATCTAATGAAAACCAAAAGGCTCATTAACATCCTCCTATCTAGTTCTTGAAGGGCAGAGGGAGAACAAACGTGGAGAAGTTCAGTCACCATTATTTTGTTCTTGAAATCATTTCTTTATGGTCTACCATGTTGCAGTGTACTGTTGGTGACTATAAAACAGAATAAATATTCCTTTTAGATTGTGAGAGAATGAATAAATTTAAGTAAATGACTTAAGGTGCAAAGTCATATTGTGTATTTGTAGCATCCCACATCCCACCACCCAGCATTAAAAATGAATTGAATTCCTTTTAACCATAGCTAAGATTGGACTATATATTTGACTTCGTAGCCACTATTTTATTTATTTTTTTATATATATACAATTTTATATATTTAAACTCTTCCATAACTTTTCTCATCATATGTGCCTATTTTTATTTTTCCATGTCTATACCTATAAGTTTGCCTCATTCATTTTGTTAGTGCATAGTATTCTATATGTGGATGTATCGTAGTATTTATGTTTTTAACAAATTCCCATTGTGATTTCAGGTCTAATTTTTACTGTTATAAGTAACACTATATAAGCAGTTTTATTTCATCCTTTCAATTCTGTATGTCTTTTATTTATGATTATTTTCATATTGCACTGGCTAGTATCTCCAATACAGTAGTGACTAAAAATGGTGGTAGTAGGCATGTTTGCCTTATTCCTCATCAAAGGGAAAGCTTGTAACATTTTGTATAATGTGTTTTCTAGAGTTGTGTAGATCTCCACTATCAGAATAAGGAAGTTCCATTTTAACATTTCTAGGTTTGCTGAGATCTTAGATTCAGAATGAATTTTGAAATTTATCACATGCTTCTTCATTTATTAAGATTATCATACTATTTTTCTCCTTTCATTTGTTATTGTAGAAAATTATGCTTGACCCTTGAAGAACATGTTGGGTTTTGGGGTGGGTTTTTTTTTCCAATAAATACAGTCAGCCTTCCATATATGTTGGTTTCACATCTGTAGTTTCAACCAACTGCGGATTGAAAATAGTATCTGCACTCCACAGTTGGGAATCCACAGATGTGGAGGGCCTACTGTTGGCATTGTTCTACACCATTTTATACAAGAGGCTTGAACATCCTCTGATTTGCATATCTCCGAAGGGTCCTGGGACCAATTCTCTGCAAATATCAAGAGCCAACTGTGGTTAAATTTTGCAGGAGTCAGAAGTTATACAAAGATTTTCAACTATGTGGAGGGATCAGTTCCCTTAGCACTTTCATTGTTCGAGTGTCAGCTGTGTATCACTTTTACATATATTGTTTTCAAATTTTATTTTAAATTAAAAGTCATTCACGTGAGAAAAATTTATATACGGATAAAACTATAGCAAGCCATTCACTTCAATTAGATCATGTTCTTTTGAGCTTTATTTTAAGCAGTTTAATTACAGGTTTTTGTTATTACTATATGTCAAGCCCTTTACTAAGCACTTTGTGTCCAGTATCTCATAAATCATCTCAAACTTGATGAGATAAATACCATTATTCCTATTTTTTTAGACAAGGAAACTGATTCTGAGAGAGAATGAGTGGCTTGCCCAAGGTCACAGCTGATAGTTGGCCAACCTAAGATTCACATCTAGCATATCTTCAAAACACTTGCTCTGAAGCCATACCAGTGCTACTTAATTAACCCTATCCATTCATCAAAATCATATGAGAAACAGTTGTATAATACAGTGCTCTAGTCAGTAGCCAGACTGTTTCTCAGGGAAGAGTATACCATTCTAAATGCACAAGAAAAATGAAAATAAATGAACTACACATTGAGTTAAGAAACTGGAGGAAATGGCAAAATAAACCCAATGAAAGTAGTATGTTATTTTTTAAAAAATAGAAGATAGTAATTCCTATGAAACCATAACATTAAAATTCTGGTGGTTAAATTTTTCTTTTCTTTTTTTAGGTCTAAAGGCATCACAAATGCTCGGGCTCAACTACTCTGGTTCCTACAGACTTTGCTCTTTGGGATAGCCTCCCTCTCCATCTTGATTGCTTACAAACCAAAACGCCCCAAAAAAACTTAAAAAACATATTCAGAAGCTGTCTCTACAATTGGACATCCCACCTCACCTTTTTGGGGGGAATGGAGCAGGGAGGTGCATTGTTTACTCCATCTTTCTATTTTCTAGAAAGTTAAGACCCTCTAGACATTCATTATTTCATATGTTCTGGTTGTGTTTGAGTAGATATTAGGAAAAGATTTTAGCTGTCCTGTTCTGCAGACTAACCCATTTGGCAGAGGGCTTCCAGCTACCTTCTTGAAGTCGTTGGCTGTGTTGGTACTCTCTCCCTATCATCTGGTTTAAGCCATGTACTAAATTTGTTTGTTGGTGTACCTTTCCTCCCATCTTTTAAAACACCTTACAACCATCTTAGCTCTCTTTTCCCAAAAATTTTCACCTTTCTGGACCAAGATGGAGTAACGTGTCCATAGTACATCAAATCCACATGTATTTGTTAGCACCAGTGAGGCACGATCTTATCCTTTCAAATTTTCATTTCTCAAACTACCAAGAAAGATAGGAAAGATAAGCAAGTGCATGGAACCAGGCAGGCTGAGCAGATGTATCTTTATACATCTTAAATATACATCTTATATTTAAGATGGCACAAAGGCACAAAGGACATGCTGACACCCAAGAGGAAAGAATTGGAGAATGCCTTCCTTGATTCTGCCAACCAGAGTGATTCTTCCCTCCATATCGCCCCTTGGACACAGTGCAGTATCTGATGGCTACTGCTAGATTACTCCTTCAAGTCAGGACCACATCTTAGACAGCTTTATTTTATCTTTAGCACCAGCCCCATTGCTTTGCACACAGTTGTTCTATCAGTGTTTATTGAACAAAGGCAGGAAACTTTGATTTCACTGTCTAGTATCATTCCAATTTTTATGTGAAAACTGTAGGACCCATTTAGAGTAATCTTGTCTCAAATAAAAGCACAGGACTATCTTTGACTGGTAATACCACCTTTCTGATGGTAAGCCAGTATCTTTTTCACACTTTCCTATTTTTGGTCCCTTTCTCCAGACTCTGTAGGTGTCTCCCTTCAGCCCAGGCTTGTTCCAACACAAACATTCCTGTTCTAGAGATTCTAGTCCACGGGTGATCCAAGTGGTTACTACCTCTTCCTCCCATTCACCTAATTACTACTGACTGGTTATAATAGGTCAGCAATTTTCAACTTTTATCATCTCCTGGCACACAAAAAAATATATATATTTTTGCTGATCTAAAAAAATAAAAACAGGTGTAATTTTGGATCATTCATACCAGACAGCTATTGTATCGGCTGTTGTCATTTCTTTATTTGACAAGCTACGGGAAAAGGGGTCAGTGCCCCAGATTAAAGAGTCAGGTATTGTCTATTTTAAAACTTGCTGCAGCCGTGGCTGGGTGGCTCGGTTGGAGCATTGTCCTGTTCACCAAAGGGTTTCAGGTTTCGTCTCCAGTCAGAACACCTCCAGGAGGCAACTGATCAATGCTTCTCTTACATCGATGTTTCTTTCTCTCTCCCACTTACTATCTCTCTAAAAATCAATGAACCTATCCTTGGGTGCGGTTAAATTTTTTTAAAAATTCTTGAGGCACACCAGTGTGCTACAGCATACCTGTTAAAAACCGCTGCAGTAGGACATGCTGTGTTTTAAGCAAACATTTATGAGAAACAGTCCTCTTCCCCTCTTCCAAAAAAAGGCCCCATGTAAAAGCATAACCCTGAAAGATTATGGATAGTGAATTGTTTCTGGTGGAGATCAATCTCTACAAATCTGTCTTTCCCTCTGTTTCTCTTTAATTAGGCATTGTTTTTTGGTACAGTAAAATATTTTAAGAGTTAAACATAGTGGAAATCCAACTCAGATTTTTTTGAAAGCATGGTCCTCCCCAAAAGAAATAATGACAGTAGTACTAATGGTGCCCAGAACAATATGGCAGATCATTGAATAAAATGGATTAATATTAATAAAATGCTGTGTATTGTCTCTCCAATAAAATATTGTTTTTGTATGTCAGTTTTGATATAGTGTCACACATTTGATTCTACCTTTTCTTAAATAGACTCTGTTACAGAACTGTTTATCCAGTTCAGATATCAGAGTTGTTTTTTTTTCACTGATACAAAAATACAGAATGCCCTGGTCATGGCGTGTATTCTCCTCATTACATTTCTAGAGCTGCCCACAGCCCACTTAACTTCTCCAGACACACTGAGCCCCAAGTGGACACGAGTGTCTCCTTTTATTATGGGATTGTCCTTTAGTTTCCATTAACATTTCATTTAGTGTATCATGCAATCTATGCAGCAAGTGAGACTAGTATTCTGACTTTTTTTTAAAATGCCAAAAGTATAAAATTCTGTAATCTTATTTTGGATATATGGCTTACAGCAAAAAATGATCTTATTGGACAGATGGAGCCTGTGATTCATTTTTTGGACCCATAAACTGCATCCCATTGAGGTGAGGTAACAACATCACACAGAGGCCAGACTAACTGCATCTTGTGTTTCTCCCCTCCTCCACAACCCGGGAGCTTAGAAGTCTGTGAAGCAAAAAAATAAAAAGTGGAGACATCTTGGCTTTGAATTGCAGTCATAGTGGTGATTTAGGAGAATCGTCTTTATGTTGAGTTTGGATAAGAAAAGGCCAAAGGCATTTTGGTGGAAGCAACCATGGAAGCCAAGCTGAACTGTTTTATTACCCACCTTCTCCCCTCACTGGGAAATTGTCAAGAGCATGTGTAGTTTAGAAGAACAAAAAAGGACCATTGGGGAGTGGGGAACAACTAATGACCTCACAACTTAAAACGGGCCAGATTTATAAACTAACTCTATTTCCTACATTCAAAATGTTTATGACTATGCAATCCAAGTCCAAATGTGTTTTATAAACCATGGTCTTAAAACAAGTTTTGGATTTAAGAGGTTATATTCCTATATAAAAGATTCAATATATTGCTAAAGAGTTCTTTAGCAAAACAACTTGCCATCTGAGAGCCCATATGTATTTACATGGAGTGTCTGGAAACAGAAGTTACAGGACCTGCCGTTGAGGTTAGAGTACAGAATGGAATCATATTATCTTTGCCCTAGCCCTTCCTGGAGTCTTGTTAATTAAAGCTCTTAGTTTAGCAGCCTGGGTTGTATCATTTATCCTCCCCTTACCAGCACGGGCCAAAAAAAAAAGTCAGTGGGGCAGGTAAGTGATATAATTGAAGTCTGTGAGACCTTTTCTCTGCAAGATCACTTGTCCCCATCAAATTGGGAATTACTGTTCCCTCTTCACCAAGGTTGGACAATGAGAGTGCATAGTTGTCATTTTGCATTTCTCTTTATGAAAAGGAGATCTATACTTTGATTCCACAGGGGACACTTGAAAATCCTATTCAAAATACTGTATTTGCAATTTCTATCAAGAAACATTTTAAAATGATTCCTAAGCTTTCTTAATAGGATTGCGTATACTGATTGCCTTTTTTCTGTTTGTATTATGATAAAATTGGATTAGGGAAAATATCTTTGGCATACTAATACTGTTCAGGGAAATAGTCATGAAAGAACTACTTTTTCCTTGTGCCAACACGTTGCACAGGATATTGCTAGTAAATAAAAATTACTCAGTTAAAATTGCCACTAAAATTGAAATCCTGACACTACTATAAATGAAAAAGAGGAATGTCATCTTTAATAAAGTAGTGAAGTGTTCCCTAAACAGGCATGTAGGAACCACTGTCACTTGCAACTTTAGTCATGTCTATACTGCACCTGAATAGACTTTAAAAAATCTTTCTAGGCAAGAATAACTACAAAAAACCAGGCTTGGTTCATTATATTTTTCTCCAGTACATGTTAGAATAAAGCAGAATTATTACCTAAAATCACCATGCATATTAATGATAATATTCAGCATACTATTAATAATCAAAAAGTATTACACTCCTGACTGAAATAAGCGTGGGCTTTAACCTAGGTCTATCCACAGCATTTTAGGCAAGTATGCCACCTTCCTGGACCTCAGTCTCATCATTAAAAAGAGTATGAATAATTTTACCTTGTGGCTGGGATAAAATGGAATGGTAAATTTTAGTGGAATCATCTAGTAAAGCAACTTTGTACACTATAACACATTAAGCAAGAGTATAGTTTTACTGGAAAGTTGGTAATTGCCGTTGATGCATCTTGCACTTCTCAAACTTGACCATGCTGGTGGGTCAGGTGAGATCTGGCGAAAGTAGTTTCTGATTCATTGAGTGTGGAGCAGGTCCAAGATTCTTCCTGTTTTTCAGGCTCCTTGGTGACGTTAACACTGCTGCTCTGCAGACCACTTTGAGCAGCAAACATTTTAGAGAAAATTTATCAAACTGTTCAACCCTGATTTCATGAGGCTTGGGACTGATTTTTTGTATGTGCTGACATGTCTTTGTCAATAAGAAAAGTTGCTAAGTGCCTCCCTGGAGCTCAGCACTCTGTGAACAACAACTGGCAAAAAGCAGTGATGTGAGGCTAAAAATGCTCATCAAATGAGCCAACTGGCATACCTACATACTCCTCCCTCCTTAAGAATAAAGTTTGGGATTGAGGTCTTTGAAAGTAAAAAGAATCCAGTACTTTTCAAGTATATTGTTCTAGACATTGATATAAAATATCCAAAATCCAAAGCATCTCTTTGAGGTAACAATTATGTCCATTTAATTGAAGACACTGACAGGATCCCTGCCCAGATGGCTGATGAGCTCAGGTCTCTGACCCCCTCCCCCAAAGGTCAACCCTAAAGAAATAGTAGACAATGAGAGATTCATGAAACCAAGGAGGGAAATTAAGGAATCATCTCACCCTTCCCCACACACCTCTCCTGCCCCCTGCCCCCGCACTGTCCCACTGCTGCCAGACAGAAGACTACTGGAATTGGGGTGGGGGAGGGAGTGCTAGTGGCTGTAGCCTTGGGCAGCAGAGCAAAGTAGGAGAGCTTTTACCTTCTTTTCTTGTCTCTCCCTCAAGGTGCCTTGGGACAAATGGTCATTGGCCTGACCGTTGAGTACAGAAGTGGGCAATAATAGTGCCATGGCAGTGTTTGTCATTATTAATAATACAAAGGCCCTACTGCGGAATAGGGGAGAATTCATTGAAATAAACAGAGGCTGTCAGCCCTCAGTCATTCACTCCACCATGCTCCCAACCAAATCACCAGAATTGTGGATTACATTGTCATTTCTTTCTAAAGGCTTAAAAGTTAAAACCCAGGCAAATGAGTGACCAGTGGATTGTCATCAAACAATTCATTAAGGGTTTCGTGGTTCCTGGATTCTCAGCTCTAAATCGGATTTCCATATAGACTGAGCCTGGCCTCAGCACTCTCCCAGTACATATTACCAGACATGCTGGTTGTGGCCCCAAGAGAAAACAAGCTCACAAACCAAATAACTGGGCAACAGAGGACAACTAGACACAGAGCCACATGTATTATCTGAAGAGAAGCATTGGAACAGAAGAACCAGAGTCTAAAATTGCTCTGTGAGTAGGAGATAAAGAGCTAATAAAAGAAGATATTAACAATATGAAATAGAACAAGAAATGATAAAAAAGAACTAAGTAAAAATATTCATTGAGGAATAGAGTAAAGAAATAAGATGGAGTCACTATAGTCAAACTGCTAACTTACAAAAATTATGTAGGATGAGACATGAGGAAATGATTATATTCTTGCTTTAACTGGCTAGGAACTTAAATTTTGAACTTTCCAGGCCCACGTCAAAACTCTAGATAACCCTCTGATTACCTCCTGAAGGACTCACGTATCCAGACCGCCTGACATCTATGTGACTTCCATCATCCACACCACCAGACATGAACAGACTTTCTGGTGCCCATCTTCCAGACGACCTGTTGTCCAGACCACCTAACATCTCGCTGATAACCATCCTGAACCAGTCCTAAGGTCATGAATGCAGGACTGATTGTTCTCAAGAATGCAGTTTTTACTATAAGAACTCTTAACTTTGCCCTGGCTGATGTGTTGTGGGGGGCTTGCAATCTGTGTTTCTCTCACATACTGATGTTTTTCTCCCTTTCTTTCTCCCTCCCATCCTCTCTCTAAAAATAAATAAATAAAATCTTTTTTAAAAAAGAACTTTTAACTTTTCTTTCTTCTTCAGAACACTTCTGGAGTTTTGCCTAGTTTTGTTTTGGTTTGCAAACCCTAAGATTCTTGAATATATTTTTGTAATTTATTTCTAGGAAAGTCTCCAGACTCTTTGAATTCATTCAACAAAGGTATGATATAAAGAACCTAATAAATGAAAATAGAATAAGTAAAATTGAATTGATGTAGTTGAAGAAACAATTTGTGAACACAAGACAGTGGAAATCTCACAGTAGGAAAATACAAAAGATATTAAATGTAAAAGAAAAGCTTGGAAATGTGGATGATTAACTTAGAAATGCCAATGCCTGGGCAATAGTTCCAGATAGAGAGAAAAGTAAAAATGGTGTGGAGGAAATTTTTGAAGAAATAATTTAGATAAATTTCCTCCAAATCACCCTATTTTAAATGGGTTTAAAAAGTGCTAAACAAATGTGATAAGGAGAAATCCACTCCTGAACAATAACATTTAAAAGTATTAATGACAGAGAGAACTTCCAGCCAAAATAGAAGCATAGGTAGACATACTCCCCCTCTCCTCACACAACTAATCTTAAAATGAAAAGCAACCAGAACTGCAAGAAAATTGAACTGTATGGAAGTCCAACAACTAAGGATTTAAAGAAGAAATATTCACCCAGATGGGTAGAGGGGAGTAGCCAGGGAGCCAGGGCAGAGAAGTCGCGGTGTGGTGGCCGTGTGGTGGTGGTGTGGCAGCAGCAGCAGCCAGCAGAATAGACAATCCTGCATTCATATGTGGTAGATAAATACCTGGAGGAACACCTGGGGAATGAGTGATCCCAGCCTGGGGCCAGACTGCACAGCCCAGGGTCCCAGCATCAAGAGGATAAAGCCTCATAACTTTTAACTGTAAAAATCAGTGGGGCCCTGGCTGATGGGGCTCAGTCGATTGAATGCCAGCCTGTGAACCAAAGGGTCGCTGGTTCAATTCCCAGTCAAGGCACATGCCTGGGTTACAGTAGGGGCACGGAAGAGGCAACCACACATTGATGTTTCTCTCCCTCTTTTTCTCCCTCCTTTCCCCTCTCCCTAAAAAATAAATAAATAAAACCTTTAAAAAAACACAATGGGGTTGAGGCAGCAGAAGAAACAGTGGGTCTCTCAGGAGAATCCACTTAAAGGGCCCCCATGGTCCTAGCACATATGTAAACCCACCCACTCTAGGAACCACACCAAGGAAACAGTTAGAAGGATGCCAGTTGAATATGGGAAGTGGGTGAAGTGACTGGAAACAGGGTGAGGGACAAGCAAGTGGCATTGTTCCCTCTCTGACAAACAGCACCATGCGGGTTGCCCCACCCTGTCTAATACCTAAGGCTCTGCCCGATACATTGTAACAGGTCCACCAAGATGGGGTTGAAGCAGCTGTACCCAATACACAGAAACAAACACAGGGAGCTTGCCAAACGGAAGACACAAAGAAATATGGCCCAAACCAAAGAACAGCATAAAAACCCCAGAAAAAGAACTACATGAAACAGAGATAGCCAACCTATCATATGCAGAGTTCAAAACACTGGTGATAAGGAAGCTCAGAGAACTCATTGAGTATGGCAAATGCATAAGGGAAGAAATGAAGTCTACACTAAGTGAAATAAAGAAAAACCCACAGGGACCCAAGAATGAAAGGAAGGGAGCCAGGGTTCAAATCAATGATTTGGAACATAAAGAAGAAATAAACAGTCAACCAGTACAGAATGAAAAAAAAAAAAAAGAATTTAAAAAAAGAAAAAAACAAGGAGAGAATGAGAAGACTCTGGGACATCCCCAAACACCAACATCCAAACCATCAGGATGCCAGAGGAGAAGAGGAAGAGCAAGAAATTGAAAACTTGAGAAAATAATGAAAGAAAACTTCCCTAATTTGGTGAAGGAAATAGAAATGCAAGTCCAAGAAACACAGGGAGTCCCAAACAAGTTGGACACAGAGAGGATGACACCAAGACACATCATAATTAAAATGTCAAAGTTTAAAGATAAATAGAGAATCTTAAAAGCTGCAAAAGAAAAGAAGAGAGTTACCTACAAAGGATTTCCCATAAGACTCTCAGCTGATTTATCAAAAGAAACTTTGCAGGCAAGAAGGGACTGGCAAGAAGTATTCAAAGTCATGAAAAGCAAGGACCTACAACCAAGATTACTCTGTCCAGCAAAGCTATCATTTAGAATTAAAAGACAAAAGTGCTTCCCAAACAAGGTAAAACTAAACGAGTTCATCATCACCAAGCCCTTATTATATGAAATGTTAAAGGGACTTATTTAAGATAAAGAAGAAGATCAAAACTATGAACAACAAAATGACAACAAACATACAATTATCAACAACTGCACCTAAAAAACAAACTAAGCAAACAACTAGAATGGGAACAGAATCACAGATATGGAGACCAAATGGAGGGTTATCAGTGGGGAGGAGAAAGGGGGTGAATGGGGAAAAAGGTGTAGGGATTAAGAAGCATAATTGGTAGGTTCAAAATAGACAGGGGGATGTTAAGAACAGTATAGGAAATAGAGAAGCTAAAGAACTTACATGCATGATCCACGGACATGAACTAAGGAGGGGATTGCTGGAGGGAAGCAGGTACCAGGAGGAGGGGGATTAAGGGGGAAAAATTGGGACAACTGTAACAGCATAATCAATAAAATATACCTTTAAAAAAATAGAGACAAAGAGAAAACTTTAGAAGCTTCTGAAGAGAAAAAGCACATCACCTCCAAAGAAATGACAGTGAGATGGTCATTTGACAGCTACAATGGATGCTAGAAGACAATGGAATTATAGTTAACAAGTATTGGGGGAAAATAACTTTGAATGCAGAGTTTTACATTCAGCCAAATATATCCATATATCATCATAGAAACATTCTAAACAATTTCCATGATGATATATGGGTGTGGGGGTGGGGTGGGGCACAGTAGAATGAGTTAACTGGGCGTAAGAAAAAGTTACCGTATTTGCTTTATTAATGAGAAAATATAAATACGGATGAATTTAAGAAAGTAATCAGGAAAAATCACCTCCTAGGTTCACCAGTTGTTAACGTTTTGCTACATTTGCTTTATCACTCTCTTTTTCCATATAATCTTTTTTCTTTTTCCCCTGATATTTCACCTTTAGTGTGCATCTCCTAAGCACAAAAGTACTGTGTTACATAAACCCAAAATAATATTACAGTCATGGCCCTGGCCAGGTAGAGTATTGTCCCAATATGCCAAGGTTGTGGGTTAAATCCACAGTCAGGGCACATTCAAGAATCAACCAATGAATGCATAAATAAGCAGAACAACAAATTGATTTCTCTCTCCCTCTATCCCTCTCAAATCAGTAAATAAAAAAATATTACACTCAGGAAACTGAACATTATCTTATTCACAGTTCAGATTCAAACTTCCCCCATTGTGCTGATAATGTCTTTAAGAACATTTTGGAGGATGGGGTGGGGAAGCCCAGGATCATGTAACAGGGGACAGCCAGGGCCCCCCTCAAAGGATATTTGTAACGGGGTCCAGAGATTGGGGTGTCGAAGAAAAATATATTCTCCCCACCCCAGGGCAGGCTGCCATGGGGAATGGGAGCCTTGAGCAGGGCCACTGAGAGTCATTTTTTATGTCAATAACAGGATAGCTTCATTCCTCATATGCAAAGAGGGTTATTTTGCATATCACCGAAGCTAATCTGGAAGGTTTCAAAGACTTAATACAGAATGTAACTGGGAGAGAAAGAGGAGGGACAGGGATCTGCAGGAAAGACAAAGGGACACAGACTCTGGGGAACAGTGTGAAGACCACGCGGGAAGAAAGAGGGGAGAAAGGACCCTTGCTAGTGGGCCAGAAGAAGGTGCCACATGGTTATGGAGTAAGAGCTAGAGATCACGGCGATGCAGTGGATGGTGCTGAGACCCGCGAGAGGCCTGCCTAGCCAAACCCCGGACTTTTGTTCTTTTTCTTCTGAAGGAGGGTACCCTGACTGGCCTGACCGGCCCAACTGGGCAAAGAGGGGAAGGCAGGATGGTATGTGTGTGCTGGTGGTTGTTTTGAAGGGATTTGGAGGTTTAAAGGTGACATTTAGTCATTAATCAAACCTGTAAAACTTGTGAATAAATAGTTCCTTTTCCTTTTCACCAAACTCTGCCATTCAGAGCAATAATTACAAGGAGGGCGGGCAAAGGACCCACATTTGGAGGGTGTTGTTGTTTCAGTAATAGCATCTGGGCATCCCCCCCACGGGTCCTTTAGTTCGGTATCAATCAGACAGAGCATTTAGTTCCCAGGTCTTTTGAGTCATTTTGAACTTAGAAGAGTTCCTCTGCCTTTTCCCTTTTGTTTGTGCCCTTTAATGACTGGCATTTTTGAAGAACCCAGGCCAGTCATGTTGCAGAATGTCCCTCAGTTTTGTCTGCTTCTTCGTGATCAGGCTGAACGAGTGACACCCAGTGATGCTGTGTCCTTTTCAGTGTATCACATCAAGAGACACACAGTGTGTTTGTCCCATTACTGATGAGCTTAAATTTCTCCACTTGTAAGCTGCTGTATGCCAGTTTTCTCCATTTTAAAGGTATTTCCCATCCCTTTGAATTAATAAGGGATCTATGTGGTCATACTTCAATACCACATGACCACATGTTCCCCACCAATGGTTGGAGCATCAACTAATGATTCTTAGCTCAGCCAGTCTTAGTCATGATGTTTATAAACTGGTGATCTTCCTATTTCTGCTATTTCTTCTACATTTATTAGATGGCACTTCTCTACCAAAAAAAAGTTTTCCTTTCTCCCCCTCTTCTATTTTTATTTTTGGTTAATATTGGAGGTATCAGTAGGAACTTCTGAAATCTTTTTTATTTAATACATTATAAACCATTTATATCATTATTTATTTGGTTGCTCAAATTTGGCCAGTGGGAGCCCCTTCAAGTCGGTCCCAGTGTTACCAGACAGACCTGGTCCCGAGCGGGTCTCCTAGGGCCAGCTACAGTGTGGGTTCTTTGTGTAGAAAAGATTTCACAACAGTAGTTCAGGGTGACAATGAGGATGCATTTATTAAAGGGACAGTGAAACAAGGAAGGACCTACCATAGAAGAAGCAACAGGAGAGCCTGGCTGGGCTGCCTCAGCTCACTGGGGAGTCAGAGAAAAGGGGGCCTTGGGGACAGGTTCAGGGTGTTAGCCTGGGACAAGCTGCCAGCTGCCCATTGCCTTAGAGTTTAGGAGACGTGTGCCTGTGGGGAAAGAAAGTGGGAGAAGAAGGGAAAGGGAATGTCCCTGGCTGCACCCCAGAGGGAGAGCGCCCACACTGGGTCCCTTGTTTCGAGGTTTTTATCTCTTTCATGCAAGCGGAGTCTTAGGGAAGGTCTCCAGAGAGGGTTTCAGTAGAATATTCATCAGTTCTTCAGGTGCACGCTTTCAGAGCCATGGTCTCTTCTGATTGGTCAGTGACAGGGCAGGGAGTCCTTAGTCTTTGCAGTTGATTCTGGCGTCAGGCACCCACCTGATTTTGAAGCTTTTTGGGGCCTGGAGCTGAACCACAACAGAGGCCTAGATGTTACCTCCAGGGAGGAAAGGCCAGAGGACAAGAGTTTAGCTTGGGGGTAAGGTCCTTGTTTTCCCAGGCTTGCTGCCTGCCAGGCACCTGGGCCTTGGGCCCTCTGCCCTGGTGACCATCTGCCCCTGGCTATAAAATTGCTTGGCCATTGAGTTCAGCTATCTGTATCAGTTTCCCTATCCCACTCACCAAGGAATTTTCCTAGCTTCTTACTATCATGTTTCACCAGTGTCCTTTTGAAATACCCTCATCAGTTTTTGAGTATGTGCAACAAGCTGTAATTTTCTTACCCTAGCCCTAGAATCAGCCATTTTTCCAAGCAATTTGGCTTTCTTGTATTGAAGAAACGTTTTTTTAAAACAAGATCTGGTGTGTCCCTTGCTATCAACAGTGTCATTGCTTTGCAAAGCTTCAATGGACAGGGCTAAGGCCACACATTTTTTTAAATCATGAATTGATACTGAACCTTGTAATTCCAATTCTTCTCACAGAAGAAGGTTCCTCCTCTCCTGTGCTTCCTCCCACAGTGAGAGCTGTGGCTGGAATAACGTCAACATACTTAATCACACGGTCCTACAACAAGCACACAGTAGTTTCAGAATTCTCAGTTTGTCAGCCAATATTACTACAAACAACAAACTTTCTTTGCAGTTTTTTTTTTAATTTTTACAATATATGTCACAGGAGTTATACTTTTTTCCTCCTTGTGAATATTCTATTAACTGGTATTTACTTAGGTTTTAGGTTCATTTGCTAATTTGTATTCAATTTTAGGGTTTCCTTCCCCCACCATCCTTATTAATTTTCTCTTACATCCTTTAATATACAAGACATCAACAAGGTTCAAAAGCCAAAACTATATACAAAGACATCAGAGAAGTCTATTCCCTCCTCTATCCTTTCAGCTCATTCATATCCACTCTCTACTGACAACTGTGTTTTAAAATCTCCTGCCAACTCAGAAAATTCTCTCCACAAATGTAGAAAAGAATAAATAGCTTTATTATTGAATAACCATTAAACTAGACTGTGATGTGTGTTATGGGCAATCTTTACACCCATGTTCTCAGGATAAATGGTAGCTGGTACTCATGTAAGAGGGCTTAACAGCACCATTTGCTCTACACTCTTTCAAAGTTCGTCCTAAATTCATCTGTGGTGTCCATCTGTATTAATTACCTCCATCTTAAGGAAAGATAAAACCTCTAAAATGACAAGTGGATAGTCACAGCTTGGAGCAACGCACCTGTGTCCAGGAGACAGGAGAGCTATCTTCCTTGGTATTTACATTTCAAAGCAATAACTCCCATGACCTTCGGAATAACATTCCAGGGTGGTAACACTGTCAAGAGGCTTATTTAGCTTTTATATAAGTTTAACATGCATAACAAAGGAACAGGGAAAGGATTCATAAATATAGTTTACTCATAAAGACTATCATATTGTTATAATATGTTACATATTGTATGTTATATAAGTGATATGTTAGAATAATAGTAATATTATTAATTATTGTATTATATATAACATTCATTATATTATTATATTAACTATAGACTCATAAATACAATTTCTCAAGGAAATGTTCAAAGAAAAAAGAGGGGCCCTGGCTAGTGTGGCTCAGTGGATTGAGTGCCAGCCTGCAAACCAAAGCGTATCAAGTTCGATTCCCAATCATGCCTGGATTGCAGGCCAGATTCCCAATAGGGCGTGCATGAGAGGCAACCACACATTGATGTTTCACGCCCTCTCTTTATCCTTTCCTCCCCCTCTCTCTAAAAAAGAACAAAATAAATAAAATCTTTTTTTTTTTAAGATGTCAAAAGAGAAGGGAGAAAATATCTCTCCCTTTTGGCAACAGGGAAAATTCAATCTTATTTCATTTGCCTTACAAATATCATTAATTTCTGGTTTATCCTCCCTGTGTGTAATTTTGCAAATAAAAGCAAACACATATGAATATTTTTTTATTTTTCCTTTTCCTTAGGTGTCAATTCCTGTAATAGATGCCACCATAGTGTAGATTTCCCAGACAAAAAGAGGCATATGTTCTTTCACAAAACACCTGACATCGTATTTCTGGTGCCATCCCTGGGAGAGTGATATACCAGACTAAGAAACAAATTTTGAAAAACTTTCCACTTTCTAACTCTCTATAGTCCTCTAAAATCTCAATGAACTGGAATTATTTACCCTAAAACAATCTCAGACAATGTGACTCACATTAATTACTGTAACTCTCATGCTACAAGGGAATGAAATCACCCAAAAAAAACAAGATCTGATAAAGAGAAAGCTCCCTAAGAGGGAATCTTGCAGGTACTTTACTTTTCAAGGAAAAAGTAAAAACAGCAACCCTCTGAGAGAACTGATAAATAACAAGTCACATTTAGATCATTTTGCTCTTAATTGTTTTTGTTTCCTTTAAGAGCAAAAGACAATGGAATGTAATGGAATAGTGTCCTTGGCTTTTGCATGACTGCTCTGTTCAAGTTGTTACCCACTATTCACTAGCTCAAAATCACCTTGGGTAAATTTTATCCTCTCTTTGAGTCTCAGTGTTTACTCCCCTCTTGATTTGTTTATTTCCTTTTATCCCCATTTTCCTCCTGCCCCCACTCCCAGTCAATGATTCCAATGTGTTTGCCATGCATGTATTCTTGCAAAATCTACATTGCTGTTTTGTGAGTATGTATTTTTAATTTAAATAAATAATTTTGTGGCCATGGCTGGGTAGCACAGTTGGTTATAGCATCGTCCCGATACATCCAGTTTGTGTGTTCCATCCCCAGTCAGGGCACAAAAGAATTAAGCAATGAATGCATAAGTAAGTAGAAAAACAAATCATGTTCCTCTCTCTCTCTCTCAAATCAATAAATAAAACATTTAAAATAATAAACAGCATTGTGAGAAGACCCAATCATGTTCCAATATGCCAACTGCTGCTGAGCTTTGGCATCTTGAGGACTCTCAGGACAGTGGGAATTTGGTTACTTAATCTGGTTTTCAGTTATATCTTGACAATCTGCCAAGAAGAGCTGAGCTGTCCACTTTGCATGTTGCTCCCTTGGAGGAGAAAGAAAATCTGTCTTCAAGACACTGTGAGAGCCAGTCAAACCTACCAGTTTTGTGAACAAGACAGGTAACAACAGAAAAGGAAAGTCCAGGCTGGCCAACTAGCATAGCTCATCTTGAATGCCTTCAAAAATCTCTCTCAATTTTGCTTAATTTCACCAGAAGTGCATTAAACTACACAGGATATGAGATAAAGTCATGTTTGTGTCCACTTGTAATCAGAATGCTAGAAGGGACTGCAGAAATCTTCAGATAGACCCCTCACTTGACACTGAGGGAAACTAAGGGCCTATGAAACAAAGTAACCACCATGTCACACAGCCAATTTGGTGGCAGGCCAAGGTCCCAAACTCCTCAAACGCCTGTCAGCAGCATTGGATGAAACATCCCAATTAATGTTCTCAACAGAATGCCTCACCTCCCAAATATTATACAAATATTATCCAAGAATGACCCATTAAGAGTGAGAATAGTTTCCATCATTGTTAGCTGCCCTAAAGCCCGTACATCCTGTTCATGTTACTGGCGCCTGCCTTTCATACTGTATCCATAGCAATGCACAAATACCATAAACACTCACAGATCTAGGGATTTTCTTGCCATTGGTTAAAGGTGCAGCAATAATATGTTGCACATGTACACAGAACAGAGGTATTCATAGCAAATATGAAACTGTGACATCTGCACCGCTAGAGAGCTTGCAGGGTTTTCAGAGTACTACAGAATATTTCCTAGGAAACTGAAAATAAATATGTTATAAAATTTCAATTGTTAATGTGTCACTAATACTGTCCTGGCATCCTGTCATGCCTGTTGCAAAACATACTGTTGGCCAGAGGCAAAAATTCTTACATAATTTCATTATATCCTTGAACCCACAGGAATGTGACAGAATGGCTCTTTGTTAATAGTAATAAGAACAAACATTAATTTTATACTCACTGTATGCCAAGCATTGTGCTTAGGACCTCGCTTGCATTCTTTCTCTTAATCCTCCCTTTAGCCATTAGGAGGTAGATGCCACTGTGCCATTTTTCCAGTTAGAAAACTGAGGTCTAATGAAATTAAGTAGTGTGTTAACAATCTGAGCTAGTGAGTGGCAGAAGCAGAAATCAAATCTAGATCCCTGTGACTGCAAAGCCTGTGTTTGTAGCATGTGTGTGTTCATGGCCTATTGGTTGTAAACTGTAGGTAAAACCATAGCATTTAAAATCACTCCCTGGTATCAATATTTTCACAGCAAAATACAAGGCTCTATGAAATACATATTTAATCTATTTAATATAGATTCTGCCATCTAATTCCTTGTATAGTAATTATTCCATTTCTACTTCAAGCACAGGGTACAGTTGAAATGTCTATTTGAAATGGTATCTGAACATGAATCTGAGCAAGGATTGGCTAGAGCAGCCTGTTCTGAAGCCACTGGGAAACTATAGCAGAAGCTCAGGCCTTGTAAAAGATGGCAATGACACTTTCTGATATCTCACCATAGGAGTTAATTCAAGGCGAAGAAGAGGGGCCAACTCAGGAGCACAGAGCCAGCCATGCTGATCGTTTGGGAGGGAAGGTCGATGTGGCTAAGAGACACAGTCCAAGGTCTTGTCAGTGGCACCAATGGCTTTTATGGGTGGGGGTGGCCAGGCCCCCACATACCCAAGCAGATACCAACGCTTTCTTCCATGGTCACTGTGGGGAAGATAAGTCCAAGCAGGCCAGCTGTAACTGCTACATCCAGACTAGGTGGAGGGGGTAGGTAAATGGACATTGGCCTTCAGGGCCTATGAGTCAGAGACAAAAGAGCTTCAAGCAGAATCAAGGTAGAGATTAAAGAGACCACTGGTACTTGAGGGGGCTGGGCACCGAAAAAGGTATACCCAGAAACAGGGAGGCGATAAATCATCCCTGTGACATTGGAGGTGGGCTGGTAGAGGATTGTCTTGCAGAATTTAGAAAGAAGAACCTGGGCTTCATCATCCGGAAGTTCTAAAATAGAGGTTCTTGTTCTGGGGTCCGCGGATGGGTCAGTGAACCTTTGATATGTCTGGAATCCAAAGAGGCCCAGCAAGCAGCTAGTTTCTCTTCTTTTTCTCCTTCAGATTTTTTTCCTACTTCTTGAGTGTTTTTCAGTATCAACTTTAAAATCAGCTTATCTGACTATAAAAAGATCCCATTTGTATTTCATTTGTAGCTTGCTTATTTATTTATTTATTTATTCATTTATTTTTAGGACTCTTACCACCATGCTGGTCTTCAGTGGGTTAGTGGTTTGTTTTTTTAAAATATTTTATTATTTATTTTTAGAGAAAAGAGAGGGAGAGAGGGAGAGAAACATCTATGTATGGTTGCATTTCATGCGCCTCCTGGTGGGGACCTGGCCTGCAACCCAGGCATGTGCCCTACACTGGGAATCAAACCAGTGACCCTTCAGTTCGCAGGCTGGTGCCCAATCCACGGAACCACACCAGCCAGGGCATGTAGCTTATTTAAATTATAGA